TCTGCTGTTGACATGGGGCATGCCAGCCCCTCCTTTGTGACAGAGCTGCACGTCCTCACTCTCCCTCAGCGCACCTGGTGGTGAGTGGAGACCGGCTTCCTCCACACACGGCAGAAAACACCTTCTCGGGGAAGCTCAGAAACGGGTGACGGGTGAGGTGTTGTCACCCCAAAGGCTGTTCTGGTCAGAGAGAACCCAGCACTGAAAACCAGGGCTCTGGAAGCCTGGAAACCCCTCCAGCAATGAGGGAGACGTTTCTCTTTGGGGTGACATCGACCCTCCCTGTCCCCTCTTGACATTCGGCTCTGCTGAGAAAAGCAGCAGAAGACAGTTAAAATGCATGAGAAATCAGCTCTTGAAAGTTACTGGACGGTAAATCCTCTTTCCTTCTTTTTTTTTCTTGGTTAATTTATTGCTGTTTGAGTCATTTGCTGACTGAATCCGAAAGAACAGAAAAAAGGGAACTGGACCAGAAAGGCCCATGTCTTTGACCTGTCAGAACTTCCTCTAGAATCCTCTAGCGGTTGTTGGTTTTTCGTGATTTTCTCAAACTTAAACCCCTAAAGTTTGAAAAATAAGTCAACAAGAATGATGGATGGACGGCTGCTCTGTCTCTGCACCAGGAACCTCAGTTCCCAGCCCTTCTTTACTGCCCCCCACACCAGAGTCCCCCAGCCTACAAGATGCTCAAGAAGGAGCACGAGGTGGCCATGCTGCCCACCGTGACCAACGCCCACAGTGAGGCCGCAGTGCCCGAACGCATCGTCTGTCCCTGTTCTGTGAACCCCTGCTGCTGGGCTTCGTGGCACTCGCCTACCCCGGGAAGGGACCAGAAGATGCTGGGCGACGTGACTGGGGTCCAGGGATATGGCCCACCGCCACACACCTGAGCATCTGGGCCCTGGTCTTGGGCCTCTTTCTGACCATCATTTTCATCATTTGTCACTACACTGGCTCACTGATCGTTTTCTAAGAAATTTTAGACATCGTAAAAAGTGATGGAGGCCGCTGGGAGCTGCCCATAGCCTGAGGCTGTCACCCTTTTCACGGCTGTGTGTTATACACCTGTGCTACCATCGAATTCAATAAAGCACTTGTATGTGAAAGAAAAAGAATTGTGGAAACTTACATGCATTAAAGTTACATTGATAGCAACTTTATTCATAATTGTTCAAATGTGAACGCAACCAAGATGCCCTTCAATAGGTGGACGGATAAACGATCTGTGTGATACATCCAGACAGTGGACTATTACTCAGCACTAAAAAGAAATGAGCTATGAAGACACGAAAAGACATGGAGGAAACTTAGATACCCATTACTAAGTGAAGAAAGTCAGCTCCAACAGGGAAGAAGTTCCGGTTTTCTCATTGCCGTATCCCCAGCATCTAAAACAGTGTCTGGCCACGCAGACAGAGGTCCTTCACGAGAAAGCAGAAACGAGGAAGGCCCAGGACGACCAGTTGCGATGTGTATCCCCAATTCACTGTCTCTCCAAATGTGGGCCACCAACCAAAATGCTCATTCTCAGGCCATGTGCCAGACCCACTTGATCAGGATGAATGTCCCTAGGGAGGGGCAATCTGCATTTTTAAATTAGCATCGCACGGGATTCTTGTATCTGCCGAAGCTGAAACCCGTGTGATGCTTACTGAAAATGCAGATTTTTTTTAGACATCTGGAGGTACAGAGGCGGCAAGGCTTAGACATCATGTAATTCAACCTTTTCGTCTTTATAGACAGAGAAACCGCAGCCCAGAGAAACGGCGCCTTGCCGAAGAGCCACAGGAAGTCACCTCCTGGCTCTCAGACCTCGTCTGGATGGCATGGCTGGACAGCCCACTCAGGCGGTAGAGTCTTTTGCCTCTGCTGAAAAAGATTATTGGCTTAGGTAACTGATAAATACCAACTCTATTTGGTCAAGGCCAGGGAGGTATTTACTCCCGCAGAGGAGGCGGGGGAAGTCCAAAGGAGCTTTTAATAAATCTGTTTAGGGTAAATGTTGATGAGGTCACAGAAGGATTCACTTCCCCAACCTGACGGGAACCGTTTTTTTCCTGTTTCTCTCTTCATACTATATGATTTACTTAGAATATTTAACTTCAAATGAAATGACCCCATTTCAGATATGCAGAAACTAGAGCCACAGTGTAAACCCAGGAAAATCGGCACCTGCCACTAATCTTCCCCCAGCATGGCCGCCAGTTTGCCATCTGACCTTGGGCACATCAACTAGTCCCTCTGGGCCCTGGCCCCTGACCATGAGTCCTCCCAGTTCTGATGACCTATGGTTCTCTGAGTCTAACGCACTCTACGATTAGCCTGCAGCCTGAAGTCCTGCTGGCTGATCCACTGAATGACCATTGGGAAGCCTATTCTAAAATGTGGGCTTGTTCTAGTCCAGAACCAAGTAGACCCAAAGACTTCTATAGCTGAAGAGATTGTCTGGAGAGAGGTTAGTGGTCATTCCACAGAACTAATGGGAAATAGATATACAACACAAAGGCCAAGCCTTTGCGGGGAGACAGAGAAAGTGAGTAAGAACAGAGGTAGCAGTGGAGGACACAGCTGGGGACACTTTCGAGAAGGACAGGAAGTTAACTTTCTGTACCGGGCTCTGCCCACCTTAACGTTTTTCACCTTTCCTGTGTGGACAATGCTGTCAACACTTAAGTTAAATGAAAATAAGTCAAAATTTTGTGTACACATGAACAACAAACGTGCGAAAGGTAATTCAGTGGAAAAAGAATAGACTATTTAATTGCTGGCGATTAAATACCAAATGCAAAAAAAAAAAGAGAGAGAGAGAGAGAACTTCGATCCATATCTCATGTCATACACAAAAATTAACCCCAAATGGATCGGAGACCTAGATGTAAAACCTAAAACTGTAAAATTTCCATTAGAAAACATAGGGGAGAAATCTTTACGGCCTTTGGCTAGGGAAGGAATTCTTAGGTATGATACCAAAAGCATGATCTATAAAAGGAAAAAAAAAATCAATAAATGGACCTAATTAAAATTAAGAATTTCTGCTCTTTGAAAGACACAAGAGTGAAAAGATAAGCTACATATATAATAAGGGGCTTATGTCAAGAAAATAAAAAGAATTCTGAAAACAATAAGAAACAAAATAATTCAATTACCAATGGGCAAAAGATTTGCACAGATATTTCACTGAGAAGGTATAAAGATACTAAGTGAACACATGAAAAGATACTCAACATACTCATTAGGGAAATGCACTTTGAAACGTCAATGAGCTACCACTACATACCTATTAAAATGGCTAAATTTATAATGAATGACCTTACCAAGGATGTGGAGGAACCAGAACTGTCATACTGCTGGTGGGAAAGTAGTAAAATCACTTTAGAAAACAGTTTGGCAGTATCTTAAAAACTTAAGTATACACTGACCACATGATCCAGATAGTGCACTCCTGGGTCTGTACCCAAGTTTTTGTCCATACAAAAACTTACACGTGAATGTTTATAGCAGCTTTATTTGTATGCTTCCAAAACTGAGAGAGACCTAAATGTTCATCAGCGGGCGAACATATAAACAAATTGTTGTATATCCACACAATGGCATACTACTCAGAAGTAAAAAGGAATAAATTAATGATATACATAACACGAACAAATTTACATTTACAACCTCTAATCAATGCAGTGATCATCCATGGCTGCAAACATCACAAAATGAGACATGCAGGCATCGTGGTTCTCCCCATGGACGATCACAACACCACACAGGTCAGTCTTGTAAAAAAAATTAAACTTGATCTGATTACAGCTTTTAGATCTAATTATCAATATGCAGAGAAGATGGGAGGGCAGAGGAAGATATTAAAACAACGCCATGGGGACGCCACCAGCAAGATCCAGACTGGGGAAAACTCTACAAGACAAACCACCCAGTTTCTTTAAAAAAAAAGGGAGGGGGGGAAGAAAAATGAAATTGCAAGCGAAAAAGAGAGAAAGAGGGAAACCATAGATTTAAAAAGACAAATATATTAACCATTTGCAATGTATGGTATGGATCTCAATTCAGACAAAGTTTTTTAAAAATGATATTTATACCCTAATCAGAAAAATATAAACATTAACTCAATATTCGATATTAGGAAATTATTGTTGGGGTTTTTTCTGAAGGAGGGTGATAGTATGTTTTAAAAGGAGGAATGCTTGTCTTTTAAAGATCCATTCTGAAATGTTTACTAGTCGGAATCCTAGGGTGTCTGGTATTTACTTCGAAATAATGCTGGAGGGCGGGGCGACGTAGATACAAGTGTAGAGGAAACAAGATTGACCTTGAGTTGGTTAATCGAAGGTTCGTGATGACTCTATGGCGGTTCATTAGGCTATCTTTACTTTTGTACATATATGAAATGTTTTTAAGTTGTGTGGTAACAAATGTTTTTAAACTGTGCGTCAAAATGATTGCACAGATGTGAAAAACGCAATTAAAAATCAGGAAGAAATACTGTCTTGCAAAATGCTGACGCTACTTGCGTTGCGAGCGGTGCGATGAGTCATTTCCACATCTTCTGTAATGTGTCTATATATTTTTATAATGAGAAATTACACATAATAAACCCCAGTGAGTAATAAAATCTCTGTATTTTTGCCGTCCTCTTCCTGGTCTTAAAAACCCACCTATTCTTTTCCCCATGTCCTCTAGGTTTTTGCTGAACTTTCCTCCATCTTCCCCAAGTTAACGTTATCTGTTTTGAAGAAAGCGGGTCAAGTTCAGCCTTCCCTAATCTTGCAACCTCGCGCACGCTGATCGGAGGCACTCGCCACCGAGCGCCGACCCCTCGGAAGGCGGAGCCGGGCTTAGGTGTCCCCTTCCCGCTGACGTAGGGTCGACATCCGCGCGAGCGCAGGGGGACTACATCTCCCAGGAGTCTCTGCGCCCCGCAGAGGGACGGCCTTGGTGGCGAAGGACTACATTACCCACACACACCTTGCGGGAGGCGTTGGCCGGTGGGCGCCTGGGCAACCATTGGTCCCGCGTCTGTCGGAAGCTGCGCAGCGATTAGCCCAGGAGCCAGTCAGTTACTGCCCAGCGCGGTTGACTTTTGCTGTTAGACTGCGAGAGGCGGGAGGGAGAGAAGGGCAAGGACTGCTGGGCAGCGCCCTCCAGTACTGGTGAGTGACCTCCACCTCTGCCCTCCTGGCCGTCCTCCCGGGGACTTGCACCCTCGCTCCTCGGAGGGAGCGCACACGCGCAGGTATTCACGCGGGGGCGGGGACCGTACGCACATGTGTCACGCCTGACCTGAGAAGCATCTTCAGGGACGCAGGAGGCAAACCCCGCACGCAGCCGAGGCACCTGTACACACGGGTGCCTACCTCGCGGGCGCCTTCTCAGACTCGGGGAGAAAAAAAAACCACGCCCTGAAGCACACCTGGACACCTGCGTCCACACGCGGGGACATCTGCGGAGACCCGTAGCTGAACACGTGGGCATGTGAACTCACGAGCTCACGGCGGGCACCTGCGCACCCGAACACCAGGGGCTTCCTCAGTAAGAGCAGGGGTGGCGAAGGCAAACTCTCACACACACCCCACCCACCCCACCACTCACGCCAGAGGCCACGCATCTTCTGGGTGCTGTTTACATATATATTTTTTCATTTTATTTTGTTTTGTCTCTTTAGATAAATATCGAGGCTCATTGGTACGAGGAGGAAATTTTGAACAGCAGAAAAAGTAGGGCCTCGATTGGACTTTGTTTAGCAAGCTCTTTTACCTTTTACTTTTTTTATAAACTTGTCGCATAAGGCTCCTTGCCTAACCCTGGCAGCAATCTCCGCTGGGAAGGGCAGACATTATGCCCGTTTGCCAGAAGAGAAAAATGAGCCCAGGTTAAATAAACCTGCCCAAGATACATGGGAGAGGCAGATCTGAACTTAGGCTTCTTGATCTGAGGTCTAAGGTTGTGTTTAGCAATGCAGAGCTGCTTATAGAAATGCCTCCTTCCATTGCGACAGCAAAGAACTGGCTCGGTGTGACCTGGGCAGTCCCTGGGCAACCTGCAGAGAGGCTTTGCCTCTCAGTCATCTGCCCCCGTGTTTAAATTGCTCCTCACAGGTGCCTGGGGAGACGTGGCTTGAGTCAATGTCACAGGGAAGTTGATAAGAAAGGCTAGGTCTCCTCCTTTGAGGGAATCAGAGAAGATACAAAGGAATGGGCACGTTCCTGGCAGGGGTCAGGGGTTTCATGCCGTTAGACTTTTAATACAGTGTGATTTTAGAAGGCTTGGCTGGCAGAGTCCCATGGAAATGTGTTGGTTTTCAGGGTGGATTGGAGCGCTACTTTGGTACTTTCAGAAAAGTGAGGACTTGGGGCCGAGGGAGTGGCAGGGGCAGAGTTCCAGGGTGGGTGAGTTGAGAAAAAGACTCGACGCTGAGGGGGAGATTGTCACTGTGTGGGCAGGACCTGGGTCGATTCCGAGGTCTCTTCTAAAATCATTTTATATTTAATTTTAGTCGGGGTTTTGGGGGAGCCACAACAAATCCAAACGATATAGAATGGTACAAAGAAAAAGGGAGAAATCTCCCTTCCCTCTTGCCAACCCTACCCCCACAGGTAATTTCCCAACTTGTTGGTGTGTGTGCATCGTCACACGCTTTTCCCCTATGCGTTACACAACTAATCAGAGCATATGTAGGTCTTGCTGAGTTTTTTTCTTCCCGGCAAATATGGGGTTATACTAGACATACTGTTCTGAAACCTGCTCTTTTTCATGTTTCAATCTATCACGGACATCTTTTTAAATGTGTATGTAGCTCTGGCTCATTCTTTTTAATGGCTGAATAGTATTCCATTGCATGGGTGTGACTTAGTGTATTTATCCATCCCAACCTTGATAAGCATTTAAGTCATATCCAATTTTACAAACAGTGATGCCATGCATGACATTTTACACATCTATACTAGTATTTCTCTAGAACAATGGTTCTCAACCAGGGGCAGTTTTGCGCCCTAGAGGGCATTTGTAAATATCTGGAGACATTTTTTGATTGTCACAGGGGAGTGTGATGGTTCTCGTGTCCATGGGCAGAGAACAAGGGTGCTGCTAAATATCCTGCAATGCACAAGACAGCTGCCAGCTACAAAGAATTATCCATTCTAGAATGTCCATAGTGCAGAGGTTAAGAAACTCTGCTATAGCTAAAAATGGAATTAGATATTTCTAAAATAAATTTATATTTTTAAAAAAGCACAGTACTCAAATGGTGACACAGCTATCCAATGGAATGTTATTTAGCCATTTCAAATGATGTTTGCGTAGGTCTTGTAGCAACATGGAATCATGCTTATGACATTGTGTGTTTTAAAAGCCGTGTACACACACAAAATGAAAAGCCAGACAGGAATATGTAAAGTGAAAAGTGTTAAGATGGTGAGATTTTTCCCCCCTCTCTCTTTCTGCAAGGTCACATTACTTCTAGAATCTAAAAGTTACTTTAATCATTGGTTCATTAGTTGCTTTTAGAGCCTTTGGGGTGTGCCAGGCCCTGTGCCAGTCTCTGGAGATCCAGCTGTAAGGAGGCTGAGTCTCTGCCCTTACGGAGCCCACCTCCTGCGGGCGGAGGGGACAACACACAGTAGCAAGTGCTATGAATGCTGACAAGGACAGAAGTGCAACTCCGGGAGGGGATGCTTTATAGCCGAGGCCTGGAGGGTAAGAGGAGCTAGCCGAGAAGAGCAGGTGGGGGCGGGGGCTGCGTTTCCGACATGGGGAACAGCAAGTGCCGAGGTGAGGCGGGTAGACAGGAACTCGAGCAGCCTTTCTGGGAACTGCTCAGAAGCACGGATCCCATCCGGCTGAAGAGACTGAAGAGTGGTCCAGAGTGGGGTTGAGGGGGTCAGCGGGGATCAGCTGGGCCCGGGAGCCTCACTTCATAGCATAGCAGGCCCCGCTGCTGTGCGTGCGCCTCAGGTGTGTGCAGAGGATGGGAAGGGAAGTGCAAACGGGCTGGGAGTGTGCGGGGGGGCGAAGGGGGGGGACCTGGGCTCTTGCTTTGGATAGTGCGGGCTTGTTAGGGGATCGTTCCTGGAGCCTGCATGTCTGATGGCCCCCCTCGGCACGCAGCTGGAGCTGCTCTGCTCTCACGCTAAGGCAGCCAGAGATCACGCCAGTTGATCTCTGGAAGTGAATGATTTCCGACCAAGTTCAATCATGAGATCAACAAATATTATAAACACTTACTTACTATGCTGAACAAGGATGAACAGATGAGACCAAGGCCATGTTTTCATAAGCTTGAATTCTATTGGGTGAGAGAGACAAGAAACAGATGGATGGAATAAATGTCTAGTATATAACTGCTATAAAGAAGAATAAAGCAGCCTACGGAGATGAAATGGGACGTGGGCGCTGTTTTAGATGCTGCTCCAAGCAGGTGATGTGTGAGCAGAGACCCTAAGAACTTGCTCTGGTGTTTACTGCATGTCTCTTGCATTTAGCTTGAAACGGATGGACGTCGTATGGGCCAGAGGCAGGGATGGTCGGCTATGACCCCAGAGCAGATGGCAGGAATATCTCCAATTTCGAGGTGGCAGTGGCTGGGTCTGTATCTGGACTTGTCACCCGAGCGCTGATCAGTCCCTTGGATGTCATCAAGATCCGTTTCCAGGTACCCTTACCCCACTTTTTTTCTGTGTAATAGGCCGGAAGACAAGTTCGCTCTTGCCAAAGCAGTTCCTAAGAGCTTGAAACTTTGTCAAGGAGAAGCCTTCGTTGGCTTCGTTACCTTTTCTGAAACTTCTTCTCACCCACCCCTGCCCCCATCGTCCTGACCTTTGCAATTTTGATTCCTAGCTTCAGATTGAACGCCTGTCTCGCAGTGACCCCAATGCAAAGTACCATGGGATCCTACAGGCCGGGAGACAGATTCTGCAGGAGGAAGGCCCAACGGCGTTCTGGAAGGGACACATCCCAGCCCAGCTTCTCTCCATAGGCTATGGAGCTGTCCAAGTAGGTGGCAGGGGACCCGCCAGGCCCCTGGAGTTGAGTTGCTCAGTGGGGAGCACAGGGACACTGCCTGGGGTGGGGCAGCAGCAGGCGGTCATCACACCTCTCATTTGTCTTAACTGGGAACCTGCCTGACGAATTGAAGACAGAGTCAGACTGAGCTGCGCCATAGGCATCTCCCGCCCAGGCCCCCCACCCAGGGTCTTAGCACCAACTGCGTATTGGGTCTCACACCGAGAAGACTGTCCTGATACCGCACTCCCAGTGGGGCTTGACATATGGCGATACAATGCTTTTCACTTTTCAAAGTAGCGTTTTCACATCCTTGCTTCCTTCGAACTTACCAACAGCATTGTGAAGAAGCTAGAGCAAGTGTTATGGGGATCAGAGAGGTTAAGCAAGCTGCCCGAAGCCACACAGCCTGCCAGGGGCGGGGCTGGCACTGGAAACCAGCTATTGACTCTTGCCCACGCATTCTCGAGCTGAACACCGGCTCATTTCACGGTGCATAACACACGGCGGTGCCATAGTGGTACCAGTGGCAGCCAGCCCTCGCACAGCACGACTCATGGGCCGGTCCTGTCTTAAGCACTCTACACCTGCTACCTCACAGCAGTTCTCTGAGGCAGGTTCTTGTGGCCACTCCTATTTTCCAGATGAGAAGACTGAGGCAGAGAGAGCTTAAGTAATTAACCCAGCCAGAGTCACTAGCTAGAAAGCGGCAGAGCCAGGATTCTCACCGGGGCAGCTAGCTCCACAGTCGTCCCTGCCTGCAAGTCCTGTGACATCACGGCAATCGCTCAGGGCGGGCGTGCGCCGTGTTGCTGTGCCCCTGCCCTCCCGCCCTGCAGCCGGCACGCAGGTGCTGCAGCATGATGACCAGACACAGTGACTTGTGCTCTCAGAACCCCGAGCCATCTTCAGGTGGCTGGAGGAAGATCTGAGCATAAGGGGGGTGGCACCAAGGGACATGGGATCGGTGGGGTCTCCCCGACAGAGCTGCTCCAGGGCACACCGTTTCCCCAGCGGCACACACTGCTCGCTGCTGGGGGTCCGTCCCTTGCCGAGAATCAGATAACGGCCACCTTTTCCCAGATCTCAGGAAACTAAGTTAATGAGTAGCATTTTCTGATATAAAATTTTTCTCGTATATGTTCTTAACCCTTTGCTACTTGGCTCAACTCCCGTAGCGTATAAAATGGCATCCGAGCCGCACAAAATTACGTTGATTGCATTCCGTCACTGCTCAGGACGATCTCCTCGTCCCTAGCATTGGGCCCCGCCTGGGGCATGGCGGTGTCTGTCACTGACTTTGTCACGCACTCCTGCAGTTTCTGTCGTTCGAAATGCTGACCGAGCTGGTGCACAGAGCCAGCGTGTACGACGCCCGCGACTTCTCGGTGCACTTCGTGTGTGGCGGCCTGTCGGCCTGTGCGGCCACCCTCGCCGTGCATCCCGTGGACGTCCTGCGTACCCGCTTTGCAGCTCAGGGTGAGCCCAGGGTGAGTGGCCGGGACAGAGAAGGGGTGCCCGAGTGATGGACGGTGGTCCGGAGGCTGGGCTCTTTCCC